TTCATTTCACTCCATTATTTCTTTTTGATTTTGCTCCATGGTACTTATCCTCTTATATTCTTGCTTGTATATGTATTATTTTTATTCTTCCCACTAGAGTGAGTGTTCCATGCATGAGGCAGGGAAATTTTTCTAATCACTATTGTATTCCTGGAATCTAAAACAAGGCCTGGCACATGGCTCAATAAATACTCGAAAATTAATGAAAGAACATATGATGAACAGCGTTCAGCTGTTTGGTTGTAGCTGTAGCCAGTAACAGCAAAGTCAAAGCCCAGCTCCCTTCCCTGTAGAGTCAGTGTTTGTATCCCAAGGCTGTGGCATCTTCAGCTCTTGCAGTTCTTCATGTTATCCTGCCTAAATATGCACATATTGCTGTGTTCCAAAAACTGCTGAACTTGCCTTTCTCCTAAGTACATCTAATTGAACAATCTGTGTTTCTACCTGAGCTTTTTAAATTTATATCCTCTCTTGAAAGTTTGCTATAGTAACACACACACATTTTTTTTTGAGTTCTTCAGTGGATTTTTCCAAGTCAGGTTAAGAAATATTTCCTAGGAGCTTTATGGTAGACAGCTTGACCTAACCTATGTCTCTGCCTCATTCCCCACTATTGTATGTCAGGCTTCTTATATTTATTCAACAGGAAAGGGACCACTTAGACATCTCTAGGAATGCCCTGATTTTCTATGTCCTGGTGACTATCCTGTGTTGTTTCTTCTGTTTTGAATATTCTTGGAAAATTCTGGTAGCCCTTTAATTCTTTAAAGCACAACTTATGGAACTCCACCAAAAGCCTCCTTTGGCTCATTTAAAGAGAGGTGATTCCTTTTTTCTTCATTTTACTTACTATATTTTATTACATGTTTGACATACTCATCATACTCCATTGCAAATGTTTCCTAAAATATCTCTCCCATTACCCAATGTCCTCTCTAAGGGCAAAGACTGCATGCCATCTGCTTTGCTGAATGGTACTTGTCATATATAATAGACAATAAAAAATCATAAAAATAAGAAATTACATGTCAAGATAGCTTAAGTTCTAGAAATAATAGAAATGTTTTAGCCATTCCTAATTTTTATTGATACTACTAACTCTGAAGTGTTTGAAATATGCCACATCTATTCAATATTCTTTGATACTGAGGAGATAGCACAGAGCAAAGAAGTGCCTATCATTCATATAGTCTAATTTCATTACCATATAGAACCTTTGTCCTTACTGATCAGACTGTTACGTTAGATGACTGTTTTCCACAGGGTCTTTTGCTGCTATGTCTCCTTCAGGGCTCAGCAGATGATACTTCACTTTTTTTCTTGACAAAGTATTTTCACACCCTCACCCATGCAGAAATGAGGTAGTATATCTAACTCATAAGAAACACAAAGCATTAGGACGTACAACGTGGTCTATAACTTCCAGTACAAAAGGCAGTGTAGCTCTGTGGTGGAGCAAGGGTTTTGCAACCAGAGAGAGCTAGCTTTAAGTACCGGCTCTGTGATTTTCTTGCTTTGTGAAATAGGGAGCCTCAGAACTTCATTTCAGCATATAGAAAACAGAATAATTCATTCATAAAGGCAGTTATGAGAACTTGGTGCAGTTCTTGGCACATAAATCTTTCAGTACATGGTTGCACCCACTGTTTTCAGGGAGCTTAGGTTTTAGTGACAGGACAAAGGTCATACCTAAAATACTTTGGAAATAATCACAACATTGGGTAATGAAATGTGGTACCCTGAGAAGGTTTGTTTGTGGGCTTGAAATAATCAGAAAATATTTCCAAAATAGAAAGAGTAATTTGAGAAGGACTATAAAGGATGAGTAGGAATGGATTAGACAGAAATAGATAGGGCATCTCAAGAAACCAGTGAACAGTTTATGGAGGTCAGGCGAACATTAATTCATAAGACATTCAAGCCATGTCCAGTGTACAGAAAACAGAGTCTGTTGCTGCTGTTATTGTCACTTCCCTTGGAGGGGACATGTAAGGCCATCAGGGAGCCAGGCTCAAAGACAAAGAACAGATGCAGAGAGAACTAGGTTTACAGTCTTCCCTGATTCCCTCAGGGCTGCACTTGTAGCTCCCTGAATCCCAGGGCACGAGAGCTGTACATTCATCCAGCTGTCAGTCCAGATAGAGAATACCTGCAGCTAAGGAGCTATGAGATTTCCCTTCAGCCTGGCCTGGTTAACACATAGAACTGGCCTGAGTAAATGCCCTTTGTGGTCAGTTACAGGAAACCGCTATGTCTTATGGAAAAGCTGCTCAAGCTGAGGCATTTTGAGAGCATCCTTCAATTCCTGCTCAAAGGCAGCAGAAACAAAGATATGTGCGTGTGGAAGAATAGAACATTTAACTGCTCTCTGTAAGGTTGAAAAGAGGGAAGGTATGCAACCATATTTAACGCATTGCAATGGTGTAGTTCATGAGGTTTTTCTAAACTAAGTGATTCCTGACCAAATGACAATAAATTCTAAACTTGGGTTGGAGCCAGGCACAGTGGCTCATGCCAGGCACAGTGGCTCCCAGCACTTTGGGAGACTGAAGTGGGCAGATCAGGTGAGCTCAGGAGTTCAAGATAAGCTTGGGCAACATGGTGAAACCCTGTCTCTACAAAATATACAAAAAAAAAAAAAAAAATTAGCTAGGCATGGTGGCATGTGCCTGTAGTCCCAGCTACTAGGGAGGTTGAATTGGGGCGGGGGGGGTCACTTGAGCCTGAGAGGTGGAGGCTGCAGTGAACTGTGATTATGCCGCTGCTCTCCAGCCGGGGCGACAGAGCAAGATTCTGTCTCAAAATAAATAAATAAGCAAACTTGAGTTTGAGTGGAGGTATATGAGATATGGCAAGGTTTCTCTTCAAACAGCCTGCTCAAACTTTTATTCTTTAATTCCCAATACTGCTCCCTCCTTCTTCTCCTTTTCTTCTTTCTGACTTTACTATGTGTCCAGGCATGCCACAGAACCAGTGACATTATCAACAGCAGCTCACATTCCTTTCCTTATTTTAAAAAAGACTGACTCTCTAGTTTGCTGCAGATGACCCCTTCCTCCTCTCCCCTCTCTCCCATTATGCATCTACCTTATCTAAAAACACTTAAATGTTTAGCCAGTCAAATCTAGTTTAAATTATACAGTCCAACCCCACCAATGGGGGAAAAGACACAAAGGCAAAAGTCACGTTAAAAATAAAAACTTCTACTCTCCTTTGTTCTAAGTACTCTAGTAGCAACCAGCCATAAGGGAGACATCCTTCTGCACAAGAGTAAATTACTTTACAAAAATCCTTTATCTAAGTGCTCATTTTTCCTTAGGACTTTGAGCCTTATTTCTAACAAGGTGCATGTTCTTAGGTGTATGTGGTTATGTAGTAGCTCTTTGTAGCCAACTTCCTTGGCAAACATTTTACTGCACCTGCTCTCTCCAAGGTCGCTAGTCATCTCCAGATTTGAAACTCATGATTTTCCCCCTCAGTTCTCAGCCTTCTTGCTCAAGCTGCCTCATTTTCTCTTTCCTTTGACTATTTCCTTTGGAAGATTAAGATAATGCACCTTGTCTTAAAGCTGTTGGCTGCTTTTCTTACGCAGTTACTTGAAGATAGGGAATATATCATATTCATATTCCTAACCTGTCCACCACAGTAATTTTCAAGTACAAATGTTTAAACCAATGAATAGCTTTGCTCTTTACATATGAGTCAAGGACCTCTACAATGAGTTATGTTGCTTTGCCTTTCTAATTTATACTCATCACAAATTTCTAATGGGCCTCTTTTCTAAGCATGAGCCAGTACCTTTGATTCCTGTTATTATCCACACAGGCCATTCTTGTGACTACATGCTCATGCATAAGTTTGGAAGAGCAATACTGGATGTAGCGTCGCTGGGCCATATGATATTATAGAGCTGAGTGAGAGTTTTGAAGCATCAGTGTGCCAGGAGCCAGCAGAATTGCAATCTCACCTTTATTCACCGAGTAACTTTAGACAAGTCATTTATTTCCCAGTTTTTTTTTTTTTTGAAATAAGCAAACAAAACACAAGGAGGTATTTACCTGAGAGGTTTGTTACAAGGATCAAATTAAGGAATATTTGTGAAAATGCTCTGTAACACATAAAATGTTATATAAATTGGTTTAATGATGATATTGCAGAGTTTCACATTGAACTGTATGTTAAATTAGGGAAGACTTAATAGGGAAAATGAAGAAACATCAACCTGTTCAAAATATATTTTAACATAAATTACAATATATGTTATTTCCATAAAATGTAGCTTGACATTTGTGGGGAAATCATATTGTTGGTTTCAATCAACAGTTTCAAAAGCATTTTCTGCAGACACATGAATGAGTGTTTTGTTTATATATATATTTGGAAAACACTGAATTAAAGTTCATCAAAATTCTGTTATAACTCCTTATACCTTTTAATTCAGTTTCATTGAGAAATTTCTAAAATGGGGGTGTTGAAGGTGTATGTGTTTGTGTGTGTGTGTGTGTGTGTGTGTGTGTATAGAATATATCTTGCCATATTTCCTAAAAATAGAAGAATAGAGAATGTACTTCCATTTTTCTACAGAGCATCATGGATCTAGAATTCCATATAACATTTTAGAAAATGCCACTCTTGTGGCCCAAACTATTCTGTGACCCAATTACTTAGCTGGAAATAGGCCTGCAGGAATAGTAGGTAACCTGTCAAAGGTACTATATATTCTTGGGATGTGACCAAAATGCATGATCTAGCTTTAATTTGGTTTATCAGAGAAAGACATTACCATGATATTCATTACTCTCAAGCAAATGGGCATCCTGAAAGGGAGACCTAGATGGCTGAGCTAAGATGTGGATGAGATTGGTTAGAAAGACTTACCAGGCTTTTCAATGATAATGTCAAAGAAACCACAGAAATCATCCCTGCTAACTACCCACTGAATCATTTCTTAATACTTGACCTTCTCCAACTAGACCTATGAGAGATCCTTTTTTTTTTTTTATAAACCTATAGTTTTATTAAGACAAAAACTGACAGTGTAGTATGAAGTTTACATTTAAACAAAGTTTACACAGAAATCTAACACATGCCTAAAAGGATTTTACAATGTAGCTCTAGATGCAAGTCTAGACAATATCAAGAACTGATGAATCTCATGACTCAAGACAGAGCATTTTGGGTATCAGTTACTTCTTAGGATTTCTTAAAAAATTGTGTGTGTGTGTGTGTTTTTAAGTGAACCACTGCCCAATATGGAAGTTTAATCTTCTCCTGAGACCAAGGCTTTTGAAATCACTAAACTCTTAGATCAATTCAGTGAAACTTGTGCTGTCAGTGACTGAAGCCAACAATGGTTTCAGAGTTCAAAGCTCAAAAAAGAGAACGGCTCCAAGAGTTTTCCCCACTAAAAGCATGGGCCCTTGTCTTTCCCTACTGTCTTATCTCCTCTACCACCCTCTTCCTCTTCCCTAACACCTCAGCCAGTGGCTTGGATGAACAAGCTGATATTTATAACTTCGTTACTGGAAAAGAAAGGGTCTTCTAATTTTATTAGCACCTCTGAGACAGAATGATCTGCTTGTACTGTATACTCTCCAATGAAAGACTTTCCCTCCTCATCAATTTCCATCTCCAAAATGGCAACTTTGGTAACTTATGAAATGGCTTAGTCCTTTGTGGGAACAGCAATAAGTTTAGGCAGGGAACACCTTGGCTTATAGGTTTCAGACATTCACAGTTTTTAAACAGTCTCTCACAGTCCTTATTTATGGTGCCAATGACATTTTTTTTTTTTTAAGGTAAAATATTCTGGACATAGAAGCAAATCATTAGTTGTCTGTTCTTTTCCATTGCTTCACCATTTCCCCTATCAGGCCCCAAATGTTAATCAAAGTGATGCTACCCATCTCCCTTTCTCCCCTCCCCATTCCTCCCCCAAATAATACACCAGTAATAGCCAAAGACTACACACATGCTACGCTGTAAAAATGCAGAGTTAACACTATTGGGAAGAAGGCTGTGGGTTGTGGAGATGCTCTTTGAAGATCTACAGTATTTTTTTGCTCTCCCACACACCCAATTCTGCAAGTTTTGTCCTTCATAGAAGGCCCTTTGCTTTTCTCAGCAAAGTGCAGAAAAGGTTGCCTTGAAACACTTACCCCCTTTCCCCTCCACTGGGATGGGTGTGCAAACTATACAGCTTGAAATGGCTTTAAAGCACTTGGACTGCTGCAGGGCACAGAAACTGTACTGGCTCTTCAAGGACATCTTCTCAAGCCACCTCTATGGTGTCAAGACAAGTAGAACTCCTTCCCTTCCCACTTGAAACCCAGTCAGATGTGACAGGGGCTGGTACTCAGGAGCGTTAATTCTCGTCATCTTTTTTGTCATCATCCTCCGAGGGGTAGGAATGCCACGTCAGCCTTTCCTCATAGAAGGATATGACAACCTGTGGGCACTTGACATTGGCTTCCTTGGCAGGGACCAGGTCAGCCTCATCAGAGTTTTTCCATTTCATCAGAAACATGAGCTCTCCACTGGAGTCTGTAGCTCCAATAATCCGCTCCGGCTCCAAACCTCGAGCAAAGCCTCGTGGCTTTTCTGACTCTTCTTTCTTCTTCTTTGGTTTGCTCTCCTCTCCCTTATCTTCAGAATCAGAATCAGCTTTGCGCTTGCCTCCCTCTGATTTGTCTCATGTGCTGTTTTCTGTGACTGCAGAAACTCAGCAATGAGGTCGGGGCAATCCAGGTTTTCTTCTGGCTCCCATGTGTTGTCCTCATCTGAGAACCCCTTCCACTTTAGGAGGTACTCCACTTTGCCCTTTACCACTCGACGGTCGAGAACTTTTTCCACCACATATTCCTCTTCCTCCTCTTCTAGCACCTCCTCCACTTTCTTCTTGTTTTGTTTTTTCCCCATAGTGCCCGCCAGCTTTCTGGTGTAAAGGGTGACGCTGCTCAGAGCAGCGCCCAAGAGCCCGAGAGGAATCGATGCTGCGCTACTGGCGCGTCGCGTCGGGTCGCCTGGGGGAGTGGCGCCCAGGAAGGCAGCAAGCCGGGTGGCCGCAGTGGAGCCCCTCACTGAAGCGGCGTACCGCAGGCCCCAGCCCGAGAGATCTTAAAAGAAAAATGTAAGTTTACAAAATTCTGTTTGGACACACTTTTTGTCATTCATTCTTTTCTGAAAGAATTTACAAGGTATTTGCACCAATGGAAATCACAAGTCTTGGGTTCTAAAAGGCTAAAAATAAAGCTTGGGTTGGGGTAGCTTTTGCCATACATTTGATAAGAAGGCCTCTCTACCAAGACAAGCTGAGAGTACTAAAAATATTAGAAAAAGGGTCACAAATGGGCAGTTCACTGGCTGCCTTTAGCACTCAGATATTATCTGTTTGGGGCACAGAGTGTTTTAAAAACTAAGTAATTATGTCACAATTGAGATCCTGAAAAATTCAGAGACTCAGCAATATAGGGCTACATTTCTGTGTGAAGACCATTGGTGATAGCTGAGCAGTATTTGTTTAGATAGGGCATATGCTTCCAATTTAACTTGGTCCTTAATTCTTTTTGGTTTTGCATGTGACCTGTTTCACTGAATTATTTTCACCTGCTTGGCCCTATAGTATTTTATGGTTGGTATCCTCTGTATTAGTAGTATTGTTATTCAGAGCCTTCTAGCATGAATACTTCTTCCAACCATTCTACTTAGGAACACACACACTATTGGTAGCAATGTAAATTGGTACAAGTACTATGGAAACCAATACAGAAGTTCCCTGAAAAACAACAAGTAGAACTACCATATGATCCAGCAATTCCACCACTGGGTATATATCCAATACAGTGGAAATCAATATATTAAAGAGCTGTCTGCCCTCTCCTGTTTATTTTACCACTATTCACCATCGCCAAGATATGGAATCAACCTAAGAGTCCATCAGAAGAGGAATGGATAAATAAAATGTGGCACCTTTATACAATAGAATATTATTCAACCATAAAAGTAATAAAATGCTGTCATTTGCAGCAACATGGATGGAGTTGAAGGTTATTATGTTAATTGAAATAAGTCAAGCACAGAGAGACAAATACTGTGTGTTCTCACTCATATGTGGGAGTTAAAAAGTGGATATCACAAAGATAGGAGTAGATTGGTAGTTATCAGAGGCCAGGAAGGGTAGTAGGGAGGAGGGGAAAAAAGGGTGATCAATTCAAGGGTCCCTATCCCCCAAGTTCTGGACCAGTACTGGTCTGTTAGGAACCCGGGGCACAGCAGGAGATGAGTGGATGAGCGAGCATTACTGCCTGAGCTGTACCTCAAGTCAGATCAGCTGCGACAGTAAATTCTCACGGGAGCACAAATCCTGTTATGAACTGTGCATGCGAGGGATCTAGGTTGTGTGCTCCTTATAAGAATCTAACTAATGCCTGGTAATCTGAGGTGGAACAGTTTCATCTTGAAACCACCTACATCCGTTCCCCCACCCCCATCCGTGGAGAAATGGAAAATTGGCTTATATCAAACCAGTCCCTCGTGCCAAAAATATTGGGGACCACTGGATTAATGGGTACAAATATACAGTTAGGTTGGATGCAGTGGCTCACACCTGTAATCCCAGCACTTTGGGAAGCAGAGGTGAGAGGATCCCTTGAAATTAGGAGATCAAGACCAGCCTGGCCAACACAGGAAAACAAAACCCAGTCTCTACTAAAAATACAAAAATTAGCCAGGCGTGGCCGCACACACCTGTAGTCCAGCTACTCAGGAGGCTGAGGCAGGAGAATAGCTTGAACCCGGGAGGCAGATGTTGCAGTGAGCCGAGATTGCGCCACTGCACTCCAGTCTGGGAGACAGACTCCATCTCAAAACAAACACAACAAACAAACAATCAAAAAAACAAGATATGGTTCGAAGAAATAAGACAATGTTCAATTGATCAGTAAAGTGATTATGTTAGCAATAATCTATTGTACGTTTTAAAATAGATGAGAATGATCTGAATGTTTCTAGCATAAAAGACGAATATTTAAGGTGATGGCTATCCCAGTTACCCTGACTTGATCTTTATACATTATATGAATGTATTAAATTATCATATGTACTCCCAAAAATGTACATCTGTGTCAGTAAAAAAAAAAAAGAAGAAGAAAAATAGTCTTTCTATGTTTGCCAAAATATTTACCATTTCTGATGCTTTTCATTCCTTCTTTAAAACTCTGAGATTCCATCTGGTATCATTTTCTTTCTGTCTACGTACCTTTACCATTTCTTGTAGGGCATATCTTCTGGTGAAAAAATCTGTTAGTTATCAATTATTTGGAGATGACCTTCTCTTTCCTCCTTTCTTTTCCCTTTCCTTTTCCTTTTCTTTCCTTCTGCACTTTAAAAGTATTATTTTACTGTCTTCAGGACTTAATTTTTTAAACATTTTATTTATTTAGTTGACAAATAAAAAATGTATGTATTTATTATGTCCTTTAAAAATATGTACATTGTGGAATGGATAAATTGAGCTAATTAATGTATATGTCACTTCACATACTTATGTGGTGAGAACTCTTAAAATCTACTCTTTTGGCAATTTTGAATAATACAATACATTGTTATTAACTACAGTCACCATGTTGTAAAATAGATCTCTTGAATTTATTCCTAGCTAACTGAAAGTTGGCATCCTTTCAGCAACATCTCCCCAACATTAGCTACTGCCACCCCTTCCCCCCAGCCCCTGGTAACACCACCATACTCCTCTTTACTTCTATGAGTTCAACTTTATTTTAGATTCTAAGTGTGTAAGTGAGATTATGTGGTATTTGTATTTCTGTGCCTGATTTATTTCACTTAACATAACGTCCTCCAAGTTCAGTCATGTTGTCACAAATGACAATATTTTCTTCTTTTTTAAGGCTGAGTAGTATTCCATTGTGTACATATCACCACCTTTATCCATTCATTTATTGATGGAGACAAACTAATTCTGTGTCTTGTTTGAACAGGCAATTAACTTGGACTGAAGTTGCAATCTGTCTCCTTAGCAAAAGATATCATGCAGCTAAGGAGACGGTTTTCAACCTGAGTCCAAGTTATTGCCTGCTCAAAAAAGATGCCACATAGTGGCTTTTATTTCTATTGGTCCTCTTTAAAGATTGGGGTAGATATATTAGGAGCTCAGCATCTACTGTTAATTTAACTTGCAAACCTCTCAACTGAAACGCTTTGCACTGTTTTTACTAACCTCCTCATTATGTCGACCTAACAATTTTAATCTTCAAATATACCACGCAGATTTACCAATTCAAAAACACAAAGATATATTTTAAAGGATGTTCTTTGAAGCTTAATTGGTAATTGCTATTTGCTAAAATTTCTGAAAAAATGTCAGCCAGGGTCTGGGTAAATAAATCATGATATATGCGTAAAAATTCATGATATCCAACTAGCTAAAAATAGACTTATGAGTCTTGGAATAAAAAGATTTCCAAAATATATTATATAGAAAAAGCAAGATAATAGGATTTGAACTCTGTATATACTTATATACGTAAAGCTGTATATATAGAGTGTGTCTGGAGGTAATGGTGAAGGGAAACTTTTTGTTGTTTCTTTTTTAACCAGGGTATGCATTGATTTTTATAGTAAAAAAGTAAAATTCATGTCTCAAGGCTCTTCCTCAATATACCAATGGGGAGAAAAATAAATGTGAAAATTGAATCCTTAATATAGCTTTTTTTCTTTTTGCAACTTCCCCCTCTCACCTTTGCTAAATTTTACCTATAAAGTCATTTTTGTAGAACTAGTGGGAAAAACCAATCTGAAGAGTAAAAAAACGAAAAAAAAAAAAAAAACCTCAACATTTTATTTTTTCCTTAACATAAAGGTCAATGTTTTATTTCATACCTAGAATTTTCTGTTTTAAAGGCTGGGTTGAATAGTGCTTTCAGCAAAGAAGAAAGATGGAATTTATTTATTTATTTTTAAGTATGATGACTACAATCTTCTCTGTTACAAAAACCCACACCAAAGAGTTGACAAAATGATTTGCTGAAGGACATCATCCTGAGAAGATAAATAGATGTTGAAATGGTTTTGGCCTGAAAAATCAATCTGGTTGTCTATAGGCCTCATGGGAAGAAAATCACCTTTGCTGAGGAAAATATTATTTCTACCTCTGAGAGGGCCAAACCAGTATCAGGGAGGAGGGAAGCCTTTTTTTTTTTTTTGAAATGATGACACCTTCTCCAACAAAGATGAGTGTTTACAGAAAAATAGGGGACATATACTTATTTTTCTCAGCATTGAAGTAAAACCTTGTCCTTCTTTATTGTTTGCCCAGCTACAGGGCATTACTGACTTATACGTATAGGATAAAAAGGCAAAAAGCCATGTCATGCTGTGAGGGCAACAGACTGATGTCTTGGTGAAGAAAAACAGAAAACTTTGAAGGTGAGAGAAGAATAAGAGGGAAATGTGGTTGAAGAAGGACCAGCTGAGCAAACTCTTCCTGATTAAGAGTCGGCAGCTGGCTGCAGCTTTCTTCTCTGTGTTGGTTGACCCATGGGAACAACGATCACTATAGATTTTCTGTAAGGAGCAAGCAGAAGCACAAATAGCCTTCCACCAGCTTCTGGGAAAAGACTAGCCAGAGATCTCTGACTTGTCACTAGCAGTCAGATTGGAACAAGTTGATTTATTAGGATGAGGAGAGTCAGAATAAGAAGTGGAGGGAGAGGGATTAGGAAGATTTGGAAGAGTGAAGACCTAGTTCAAGGGGTCTCATAGAAAAGAATGGATTGTTTGCACTCTAAAACCAGCTGAGGGTTTAATGCAGATGATAGGAAGGGGATTAGCATCCATAAGCATCTTCTAATGGCAATATCCACAGGTGGTAGGTGTAGTCATCACCTTCTTCTTTTTAATCGATGAAGGAATGAAGATTCAGAGAGAGAGTAAGCCTTTTTTATATTGTCAAACACTATTAAGTAGTGGAGCCAGCTTTAGACCCACCTTTATTCCAAAGCCTGTATCCTCTCCACCAGGACATCTCTCTGTTACATTGGTGCAGCTAAGGAA